ATATCTCTACTCATTGAACAACCCTCCTTACTACTGTACAATAACGGTAATTTTGACCCCGGCTCATATAGCGACCAAAGAACCCGTCAGGTTTGCTTTCCATTGCAGGCTTCGGCGATGATCATGCCGCTAGACCGCGGGTTAATTACGACTAGGGAGAGCAGACAATCCGTCTGAAGGCGGTTCAGGATCCAATTCCCGAGGCCTGAATCCTCAACGAGCGGGCGCATGCAAGGAGCTTTGGCCCACACTCACGTGTCAATGCAAAGCTGCAGCCTGCAAAATTTCTGACTTCAGAGTCTCCAGATATTTACAAAGGTCGCAGAAACATGCGCATCCCGACCCACTAGAATGCCGTTCGCAAGCTATCAAGCAAGATCTGACCTGAACTCTACCAAAGCTTACCAAAATCCCAACTAGACCCAACATTTGCTGGTCCTTAGTGGGGAATAACGGCGTATGTCGTATAGGGAGTATATAGGGATGATCTTCCCGTATTCCCTACTGATAACCAGTAAGCCAAGCAGTGTTCGTGGCATCCTTGCACCCCTGGGTGCCAGGCTCTGATTGACCTCGTGCGATCTCGCAAGTAGGAATAAACCTGCAAGACGGCGACTACAAATGGATCTACAAAGTTAGGTCATTGACCCACAAAACTGCAGTATACAGTTGTGGACTGAATTGGGGGTTCCCAAATTTAGGGGCACCCTTTTGCAATTCCTCATAGTAATTGAGGATTGTAGTATTTGGAAATCTCTATTGGGGTCCCCCTACTAAGGGAAGCTACCAATTGTGGGTTCAACTAGTAGGTCTGCAAGGGGCTTTTGCCTGGACTGAGACGTGCAAAAAACTAAGTCCGGAAGCCCGGAGCACAGTTTGGAGTTGGGGCTTCGCCTGGGGATTAGGCTCCTATGATCTTCCTTACAGGGTCGCTATGCCGTCGTTACTCCATTTCTACCCTCACTACCCCCAAATGCTACCACCCCCTCTCCCCTTAATCAACATGAATTCTATCCTTAAGCAACCCGAATGAAGGGGGAGAACCTTGGTGGGGGGGGGGTAGTAGGGAACCCCTGGTTACAGCTTGGCAAGTTCAATGACAAGCTGGTGTACCTACATTTCATGTAAGCCAGCACGACTAGGGGTTCTGGGAAGTTCTGGTGGGATTGATGGATGACTTGCATGCGATCCCTTGGTGCAATGATGTATTCATGTTGTGGTTATATTGGGATAACGGATAAGAAAATGGAAGCTACTATAGTACATAGGTATGGCATCCCCTAGATACAGCTATCCCTCCTGAAGAGCCGGATAGCAGGGCTTCAAGAAAATACCAGACATCATGGCACGAATCCTTGTACAAACGGGCGGATTCCATGGAACATTTAAAGCCAGCCATGGCGTTCTAACGTAATCAGTGAAATCACAGTGACAATGTAGATACATCCGTCATTTTGTAACTAAGAACGCAATACAGATCATTGTCTTTGTTATCGCTATGGTTCTCGTCGTTATATATGTTGCCTGGGCACACTGTAAGGTTCCAGTGATACACTCCTTTCTACAGGCCAGTGTTGCATGCACAAGGTGCTCAGCAGACTCTAAACATTCAAAGGCTCAGAAGACGTTCTCTAACTCAACAGCGTGTGCCCGATCTATAGAACATGGTGCACGACACGGTAGCGACACGTCAGTGGCGCATGTTGTTGGCCACTCCCACTTCCATCAAATCCCACTTCCATCAGATCCTGCAAAGCTCTAGAACAGGTTCCGTCTTGGAAGTGCATGGCGAAGAACACAATAGTTGTTCCTTGTCGGCTTTAATACAGTCCAAGCCAAAAGCAGCCCACAATTTGCGAGCACACCCTCCTGGAAAGCTTGCCCACTCAATGCGCTTTCTCACAGTTTGTTGCAAGGAATCGTGGAGCGGATTACTCACTGCGAATACCCAATACTACACTAGTTTCATTAGTGTTTCCATACCCAACTAGCATACTCCCTAATCCAGATATTCCCACAAGCGCCCGAATTTTCCGTGTCATGTTCTATTTGTTGATGTCCTTCTCCACTGGATTTTTCATTTCCCAAACTCTAAACCATGAACCCTATGGTCCCCCTTGGGTAGATAGAATATGGGTTTGGGCATTTTATAAAAGATCCCCATACACCCCATATTCTATCTACTTAAGGGGGACTATGCACCCTAACAACCAAGTGTTGTTGCCCAACGGCCTCAATGTACGGGATGGCTTGGACAGCGAAACCAGGCTTCGGGTTGCTATCAAAGTCCAAGATCTCCTGTCCAAATGGAAAAGAACATGAAAGCAGGAAACTGGAGTTATATCAGGCTCTTCTAGAAGGATGATTGATGTTCTTATGTTTCTAGTCTTGTTTTGGGATTCAGTTGCTTTAAGTGGGCTGTAGAGCCTGGGTGGGTTGTCCATTCTTTGTTTCCTTTTGCTGTATGACCACATCCTTTTGGAGTTTCAGGGCTTGAGGTTCAGGCTGGAGGTAGGATGTGGGTGTGTGTGTGTGTATATATATATATAGCTATTGGGGATATATTGGGATAATGGAAAATAAGATGGAAACTGCTATAGTATATAGGGTTATACAGGGTTATATGGGGGTTATGAGGTTTACTGGGCATTTTTTGGCCGTAAGGTTGTAGAATCGGGGGCGTGGAACCTGTGAATTCGCTTTAAGGTTCAGCACCACATGTGTTGGGTTGATTCGGGTCTATGCGGCTCAGGTCTTAAGATCTGCGCAGCTTTGGCGATTGGGCGGCAATGACGAGCTGCAGAAACTGCATACTGACCGCCGCCAATGTTTAGACATGGCAGTTGGCTCAACAGTCTCAACTAATTTTCTTCAGTAAGTAGCTTAGCCCCAAACCTCTGAGCATGCACTCTCAGACCCTGGAGAAACCGCCGAAACGGCACAGACTCCTTTCATGGCCTTTCCCCGTATCAAGTACTACACATCTGAGAATAAGCTCCGTCATCAAGAACTCCATGGTCTTCCAGCACGCGGCCAGGGACCTCACGTCTTGACTTCGGTATGCCTGGCACAAAGCAGGCCACATGTACAGGCAGTGCAGTCATGGAGAGCGGAGTGAAGAGTCGAAAGGCACAGATTGAACGCCTCACAACAAAAGATTGCTTTGTACGAAGCCACTGTGTCATGAGCCTCATAGATCAAGGCCCACTTTAAAGACACAGGCCTTATCAGCGGAGCTTCGCTGATACTTCTTCGTGGCCAGTTTCAGGTCCACCTGGGGGCCAAGGGGCAGGAGGGCTGAGTGGGCTGGAAGGTGTGGCTCACGGAATTGCCAAGGAGTAGCCCCCCCTTAACGATGATATACCGACTGTTTTCAGAAGCTCCCATGTCAGGAGTTGAGCGAAAACAATGCAACAGCAAGCTAATGAGTTTGCAGTACCTTTCAATCCTTTAGGATCTGCCGCCGTGGGCACACCATGTCCAAGAAACCCCCACAATGTAGCCCCCTCCATTTTCTACGGCTGGTGCCCTAGCATACTTTTCCTGAGTAGAATCATCCCGGCACCAGTGCTTATGTATTGCACCCTAAACCCTAACTTATACAGTTGGAAGCAGCAGCCTGTACAAATCCTTATAAGCACCCATGCACCCTAAAAAATCTACACCTTCTGAAGCAAAAAACATTGAGCTCAATCCCTACGCAAGGCGCTATGTAGTTCCTTTTTTGGATAGTTTAGATTATAACCCCAACCAAAAAAACAGTACAGACCCCGAAAAGGAACAACGCACATGTGAGCCCTTGGGTAGCCCCAATACCATAAGCCCTAAACCCAAAACCCCAAACCCAAACCGCGTCCTGAGTGCCGAGCTTCGGCATTCTTCGGGTCGGTGCCCTTCTTCCACTCGAACTTATCGAGCTGCCGAGTCATCTCTCTCTCCCGGGCCTGAAAAGTAGGGACAGTTTAGGGCTTTAGGTTTAGGGTTTTTCGGGTCCAAACGACACAGCTATTGGGGGTTCAGGTACCAAAAAACCACTCAGATGCGGGTATCTGGTAAACTATTTGAATCCTTGGATCTCTACGGCAGGGACAGTTTTTAGGGTTACAGACCTGTTGTCCCCAAAGCGGACACGCCACATATGCCCTCACCCATGGACCCCTAGCGGTTGTGTAGAGCCTCGGGTTTTCCCAAACTTTGTGGACTCTCACCTCTGTCCTCGTTACAAGGGCTGTAGGCTTCCTCCACAAGGGAACGCCATGCACGACATACTCAAGCTGCTTTCTTCCATGGCTGCTGCTTGTCAGCGTGAAGGTAGCTTCCTCAGGCACCACAACTAAGTTCCCGGTTTGGCGGTGAACTAAGAGGTTCAGGGTTTCGGGTGAGCCATCTTTCTGACAGTTGTCCACCCAGAACATGAGGATCTGGAATTTCAAAGGCAGCCATGCTGAAGCTGCTTGTGACATCCTAACTTAACAGCTGTCCATCAAAAAAATGTTGCTTGTTGCTCTACCGGGAACTAAATCTAACTCAAAATCTAGCTAAGGGTCACGTGCTGTTGCTCTACCCCTAAACCCCCCAAAGTCAGCAAACTAACGTAAGGAAGCCCGCCCTGCAACCTGAATCTCAGCACCAGGCCGTGCACAGCGACGTGCGCGGCTAACAGTGACACACAAACACTGAAGGCTTACTCAAGGGTGCCATTGAGCTATATAGTACATACTTGGACCATTATATGGGATCCCTCAGGGCGTACCCAGCTTGACCCTGTGGGTTAGAGAACAGAAGCCCGGTCCAAGATGACGGCTTCATCACGAGAGCACATCTCCGTCAGCTCGCCGATGATGGGTCCGCCGTCGAGATTTCCACCCTGACATACTGGTGGTTAGTAGGGAAGAAGGGAATCTCATACCCATAAAGCCCCATAAGATATATTACCTTACTCTCTGCTAACCACCAGTAATTAAGCTGACGACTCAGGGCTCATAGCAGGGGTGCCGAGAAGTGCCACAAATGGGGAAAGCATATCGTGGAAACGATTAGTTGGAGGTATCTACAGCAAACTCCCACATAGTCTCGAATTTTCTCATATCCTAGTCACTGACCCTATACGGCTATGATTGCTGTAAACACCGCATAACTTTGCAAGCTTCAAGCAGCCCCAAAATGTTTAGTCTAGACTACGCCCTAAACCCTCAAACCCGTAGGTAGGTGCTGTACCCTTCCGTAAACTGAGCCATTTAGGACTGCAGGCTCCAACCTGATTGTCCTCCTTGGGGTTTAGGGCTTATAGGGTTCAGGATTTGAGTCGAACCCCTGAGAACAAGGACCTCTGCGTCGTTGAAGCTGACCATCGAGACCTGGCCCATACAAGTTTGCCTAAAGTTTGAAATAATCTTCCTAACATGTCAAAAGCAGGTGCAGGTACCTGTGCGTATTCATACCTGCAACCTCAGTTGTTAAGTTTATGGGCCCGCATTATAGTTACACCTGTTACACTGGTTTTCCCCAAACTTCGACTTCACAGCTTCTGTGATAGAATTATGTCCCCACTGAGGGCCTAGGGTTGATAAGGGGTGATAGAGGAAGTTTGAACACAGTTTCTCACTTGGCCTTGTTAGGCCTTGCACAGTGAAGAATGACATGCTTCAGAGGGAGTTGGGTATTACTTAGGTGGACCCCCCCAACATGTAATGGTGACTAGAAAGGATAATGGTGATTATATTGGGCCCTCTGAACTCGTATTCTACAACTATTACAGGGTGGGGGGGTCCTCCCAGGGTATTACACCTATGATTGAAGACCTGGGTCCTGTGTGTTAGGTAAAGAGTCTATGTGTTGTAAATTCAGGGCCCTGGCTTCTTGGGGATGCGCCTTCTCTTGTAGGCTCCCGGCAGCATGGTCCCAATCTTGCCCAGCTGATTGCTTTCGAGCTTCGTACTGATAATCGGTACTGGGGATTGGGATACGAGTGCCGTGTCACTTTAGCCCTGAGACTCCATGTAGATGTCTCTACTGCCTCAAGCTTTCCCATGGGTTTCACCTGGGACTCTGCACGTGAAACTAGAAATCTAGACCTTTCCATGCAGCTGCTCTTTCTAAAGTCTGCAGCAAGCATGCCCAACAGGAAAACTAAAACAGACTGCGGAAAGGAAGTACTGCGGAGGGTCCAAGACTCCTAGACCTATGCAAATGCACCCCATGCCCCATGCAATGCCCGTATACCCGCGCGCACACACAATCCTTCTCAATCCGAAACAATGGGTTTGAATGGTTTCGGGCTCCGGATTCAGGGTTTAGGGCAATACAACATCCCAAATTGTCTGTAGATTTCAAACAGGCAAGTGCGGGCAGGGGCTCTCTCGTTCAGGTGTGTCTGGAACCGCGCTGCTCGTTGAGCCCTCATGTCCCTGTCTCCCTGGCGGAGTTAGAGCTTTCGCAATTCAATCTATGGGTTCTGAGGGTGTTATCCCAGGCTCCTATATGTAGTTTTTTGGGGGGTTGTGGTTGTTTTTTGTTATAGGGATTATAATATACTGGGTAAGGATTTGGGTTCAGGGTTTAGGGCTGAAAGCTTGCGTGTTGAGGGTCGGTGTAAGATTAATGTGAAGTGGGTCCAACTTTGCGTGTGCCTAAATGATTGTACACGAGCCCGTTTTGCGACGCAACCATCCGTGTCAACGTGTGTAAGGGTTTAGATAGGATAGGCTGATATGACATGGGGACTATATGGGAGTCGTTTCAGGTTGTGTGAGAACGTCGAAATGTACTCGATCTCTCTGGCTGCCCTGTGTCGGGCTTAGCGTGTTGTGTCCGACTGCTGGTGGCAACCATTGAAGTTGCCATACAATGTTGGCAACGGAGTGGCAAACCCGAAACACTGCACCATGCAGGGTCATGGGGTCTCACAATTTCTCCGGAAGGCCGCATACACATGGCAAACCTGAAACACGAAGCCCTGGCCCTGACACTTTAAAAAGTCTGGTCTTTTGCGCAAAAAGACTTGTTGGGTATGCACGAGACTAACGAATATCCTTCTTGTTCTGATGCCCGTATAAGCTACGAAGGCTCCCATTGAACGCTTTGGGACTTTCAAAAGACAGGTGACGGTCAAATTGTTCGACAGTTTCACCCTGTTGTCCACGTATCGAGTCGTCAACTATATAGCCCAACACCAAGCACACAAATACTTCCATGATAGTCCAACAACGCTATGACTCGATAACCAGGACACTAGGAGACTGGTGTAAATCAACCAATATTGAGTCTGCTCGGGTTGCAAACCGCCGGTCTTGTGGTGACAGGACACTGCAACAACAAGAAGCAGCAGCAGCAGCAGCCGCCGCAGCAGTGCGACAACATAACCACGTTGTCAACAACCTTAAAGCAGACAAGAGCCCTGAATGCAACTCTCAATTATGGTGATCTCAAACTATGGGTCCCGTCTTGGGGTGTCCCCATGGAAAAGACTTTCGAGAAACAGCTGCGCATATGGAGCCTCATAGCAAGCCAGCTGTTTGATGACCGAAGAATGCAGAAGCACGGTACTGCAACTCAAAAATCACAAGCTGCAAAATCGAAACCCTCAACCATGAAGCTTAATTCGACGCGGATCTTGAAACACCAAAATCTGAACCCAACCCTAAACATAGACTCCACCCCCTGGTGCCCTGAACACAAACCTTGGCTTAAACTGAAACCGTATCCTTCCACGCCGAAGCCAGGGCTGACACCGAGAGCTCCAAATCCCAAAGCCTGGAAATGCTGAACCCCGAAAGCCCTGGACCGTGCAAAGCCGAAAGCTCTTTGCCCTTGAATCCTAAAGCCTAGCTGCCTAAGCCCTAAACCAAAATCCCTCACCCCTAACCCCCACGTCTAAATCCTAAATCCTGAAACCCCTATTCAACCCCCAATCCCTACCTATATGGTTCAATTGACCTCCAAGCTATCCTAAACCCTAGTTACGGCTAAACTATAGGCTATAGGCAAACGAAATCAAAGGCAAGAACTTTCTGCCTTGCTGTTAAGGAACCTCACTTAAGTTACCATCATATAGGCATGTCGTGAATTATGGGATTTCCTGATTGTAGTGACCCTATAAACCCTATGTAACCTTATGATCCGAGCCCAATATTCCTTAACAGCCAACCCTATCCCCTATAGTCCCCCTTAAGTAGATAGAATATGGGGTATATAGGGATCTTATTTTAATATGCCCAAAGCCTAAACCCTAAACCCTTAAATCCTAAACCCCTAAACCCTAAATCCTAAACCCTTAAATCCTAGACCCTAAACCCTAAACCCTAAACCCTTAAATCCTAGACCCTAAACCCTAAATCCTAAACCCTAAATCCTTAACCCTAAACCCTAAACGGCTGGGCTCCTGGGCCAGTGTACGGCTGCTAAACTGCTCCTCTTGGTCTTTGGAGGGCCAGGCAGCCTGGAACTTGCTACTTAGGAAGCCTGGGCTTATTTGGTTTTAGCGTTTAGGGCTTAGGGTTTAGGGAAGTTTGGGCGTGTTTTATTTTCGGGTTTCGGCTTATTTGGTTTTAGGGTTCAGGACGTTTGGGTGTGTGTTCAATTTTCGTTTCGTTTAAGGGTTTGGGAAGTTTGGGTTTCGGGCTTCGAGTTGACGATTTAGGGTTTACGTACTGAAAAGTCAACGGATTAGAAGGTGGAAAGAGAAATGGACACAGGGTTGAGTTGTTGGTTGTTGGTAGAGAGTGGGGGAAGGGAACAGACAAATGAGAACATCCTTGAGAATTCTCTGTGGGGACTGCTTTACGGATCCATTCCTTCAATCTCTACCGACAGCCAGCAAGGGGTAGCTTACATGGGAAGTGGCTTAGGGAACATAGTGGGGAACCCTAAACCCTAAACCCTAAGGGTCCTGAACCCTAAGCCCTAAACCCTAGACCCTGAACCCCAACTATGAAAGCAGGGCTGAGGTTTGCGAAGGGTCTGGCTGGGTGCAGGGTTTAGGGATGATAGGGAATCGGAAGTGCAAAAGGTCCACTTAGGCAGTTGAGGGTGAAAGGTGAGTATGGGTTGTTGACGACCTATACTTGTAGTTATAACCTAGGTTTTACTCAAGCATATCATTACCAGGCACTCGGAAACCCAGAAAGCTACATGAGTTGCTCTCAAAATTCTGGACTCCGTTTGGATATAGATTTTATTACGGCACCTAATAATTCGTTAAGGGTACCAACATGGGACCCTAATTGTTGGGAACCTCCACATGCTTTTGCCACTTCACTCGCATTGCAGCCATGGGCCTCCGAACCGCCGTTGATAAACGCATTGCAATACCTTAGCAAGAGCAGGCGTGCGAACGCAGGGGTGGTTGGTGACGTAGGGATCCCCCTGGGATTTCCCCCCGGGCTTATGGCCCCTTATTCCTACTTGGGATACTGGGAACAAAGCATCATCTGGTGTCTGGTGTGCGGGTATGAGGCCCCCAGAACCTCTGATTTTTGTGCATCATTGTGGTGGTCCGTTGTTGATGCATCCTTGGGTCGGCAAACCTCATTCATGATGAAAACTTCCTCCACGAACAAGATACACGCTCTAGCTCTCATCTCTGGCAGAAGGATGTAGGCAGATATAATGGGATGTATTTGATGTATAGGGGTATGTTTGGGGATATAGGGATGCTGGCGACCCTTCTCAACTAATGAAGCCGATGCATGCACTCCTGAGAGTGTGAAGCCTTTCTAAACCTTCAGGCGCCCTTATGACCACGAAGAAGTCCGCAACCCCTACAGTCCCCCTTAAGTAGATAGAATATCGGGTATATGGGGATCTTATTGTAATATACCCAAAAGCATATTCTAGCTACTTAAGGGGGACTATACATGTAAACTTTTCAGCCTTCACTGGAGATTTTGCAAGCAAGACGGAACCTAGGTTTCATCCTTTAGGGGTTGAAGCATTTCTTGGGGTTGTCTCCAAGAGCTCTGAGGGTCCAAGTATCCAAATAATGGAGTTTTAGGTCCCACATACTATAATCTGAATGGAATATGGTACCGAAAGCCCCATACATACTCCTATATTCCACTCTGTACCCCTTTAGGACCCCACTAGTTGGGTACTTGGACCCTTTGATTTCAACTCTGTTTACCAGGGGCCCAGGCTGCTGAAGAGTCTGATTGAAAAGCATGCGGAACTTGCCGGGACGAACGCCGAAATTTTCCTGGATCTCGTCAGAGAGCTCCTGGAACCCCGGTGTAGGGCTTAGGGTTTCAGGTTCGGGTCCTGGGCCATTTTCTTTGGGGGGTACACAGAATGGATTCAGGTCCCGGAGCCTGTGTTGAGGCATCGCTTTCTTATGCGCTGAATGAGGAGTGCTGGAAGGTCTCCCTGCAAAGGCTTCTTTGGTTTAGTGAGGCATCCGCGCCCTCATCCTGCACTTTGTGCTAACGAGTAGAGGTCACACCAAGGGTCTCAGCGCCCGACATTTTGGGGTGGGAAGAGTAAACAAACTGGCCGGATCTATCTGCGTGTTTTTTGAGTAGGTAGCTGGAGCTGCTCAAGCCTCTTCAGAACTTGTTGAGACCCTTGTCTCACCACGTGCCAACTTCCTTGCCTGCAGTACATGTAACACAAAAAGGAGTAGGGAATCTAGAATGTGGGCTGTCAACCAGCCAAACTCTTTTGATCCCAACAACGACGCCCAAAGCTCAGAGTCCACTCAACCCTGCCAAGAAACTTGACGCCAAAACCAATACCAGGCAGAGCCTCAGAGAGTTCCCAAGCCTAGCATCCTGCGAAATTCCCCATATGAAGCAGGGTGATCTCCTTCTGTCGGACACGACCGGCGGTGTTCTCCAACCTCCATCTGAATCTAAGACAGAGCTGGCCTCTTGTGACTGTTCAGATTGTAACCACTTACCACCCAGGAGACGTATAGGGGCCCATATTTGGGTTGACCTTAGATACATAGTAGCTCTCATAAATAAGGATGCCAAAATCGGGAATCCCTATTCCAGGAGCCGCACTGAGGTTGCTCATGTCTGGAAAGCCCATGTGCAACAACCAAATGAGTCGGACCCCCCCTTAATAGTGACTATCAGGGATAAAAAGGATTATATTCGGGTCCTCTTATATTCCTATTCCTAGTATACCACTATTACAAGGTGGGGGGTGGCGTCCTCCTAATGTGTTGCATAAACACTCCAAGCAGGGACTGAATCAGTCTCAGGAGGCATGTTTTCACAACCACCTCAAGAGATCTCAAGAGGTCCTTTCCCGAACAAAAGGACTTACTACGGCTATTATTCATACGAGCTATGGTCTAAACTCCTTAGAGGGGGTTATATAGGGGATTATATAGGGGACTACCATAAAGGTTATTAAGGGGGATACTAGGAGTTTAGACTATAGCTCATACTAGTATTGTTATTATGATTATGACTATTACAATGGCTTGGACTCGGGCTCCTTTTTGACATGCTCCTGGCATTTACGCCAAACAAAACCGTCCGACATGAGAAGCAGGCTTCTCGGTTTTGGGTCATGGTTAAGGGCTGCGAAACCCATGTTACGTAAGCCTTTTGCAACAGGCTTCAGGTCCGCCCGGTGGCGACTCCCCCCTGCACGTGCTCATGACGCCCAGGGACCCGCAGGAGCTGGATCTCATGCCAGCGACAGCAGATTTTGGAGCCAATCTCTAGAAACCATCCATGTTAAGCCTAAATCCTGAACCCTAAACCCATGTTGCTGCTCTGAAACCTTATGAGCTCTAGTCACTCTAGTCTAAACTCCTCATAATAACGCTTCCATATATATATATATATATTCCCCTTCACAAAGCGTTTAAGGAGTTTAGACTATAGCCCTTATTGATTTTGGCAACATGCAGCCTTGGCGTGCGGCCTGACAACCGTTGTACTGGTGTAGGTAACAATACTGACAGCAAAAGTAATAATGACATTGGAGTTTTGTGCTGGGCTATTGGGCTTGGAGCCTAGGCACTCACGCCCAATGCGCAACTTTCAACAACAAAAATCTGTATGAGGCTATATAGAGGTTATAATAGATACAGGATATATCTATATCTGTATCTGTATATATATATATACCTATATATATATATACTGGTTGTATATACGTATGTGTTGCATGGCTTGGGGCTGTGAACCTGACACAGAGGATTGTAACTTAATGCTTCCCAGTATAACTGCAGAAGCATGCCACTTCGTATGAACCTTAGGGTTTTCGTGGCATCCCCCAAGGGAACCCCAAACCCAGCAATCCGGGGCCCCCAGCTTTTCATTGAGCCATGTTCGGACTTGTTCCCGCAGCTCCTGTTAATCAGGCTGTGTGCAGGCATATTGGGTGTCATACCAGGTGGCCGAATCCGATTTTTTAAAGGCATTTCCCCCTTCACCTGCGCAATCCGGGGCTTCCATGAGCTGAGGAACCTGCCAAATGTACCGCATCACGGGATTAAAAGGCTGAGACAAACGCCCGTGGGCTCATGCCAGGCTTAGCAGTTTGACACCCATCCAGGTTTTTACCTAGGAGGTCACTGAATCACCCCAGACCCCCTAAAGAATCCATAAAATGGACCTCCTCCCAAAATGACCCCCGTTACTACTCTGGGGAAACTAGGGCATAATTGGGAGGTTCCACATTTTTGGATCCTTTATAGGGTCTGGGCAGAGGCGGCAGATTGGTGGAGTCAACAATGCCCGGGTTTCGTCGCGCGGGAGGAGTGGCAAGATGTAGCTTCAGTTGGGGCATAGTTTTTCCCGATTTCGCTTTCTGACTGTGTGCTGAAAGTGGAATTTCCGCATTCTGGCTGTGTTGGGACTTGGGAATACATGGATAATTTTGGGCCTTGAAAATTGTTCTTCTTTGCTGCGCTCTCAAGTGGCCCCTTACTATTGCATGACTAGCTCGGAGTTTCGATGCCTAACAGTGTCATGATTCCAGCAATGGTTAATTGCGAGCTCCCATCTTCCGTGACTATATGACTCCATTGGTCATCACGCTGGGCCCTAACTAAACCTTATAAGCCCTAATCCGTCAATCTCAACCTGGACCCAAATAAGAATTTCCGTGCGTGGCGTCCTCGTCCCGCTTCTTGTCCGAGACCCGGGTCTTATCCTTGCCACGGTCTTTGCCTCGCACACTGCTTACACGATTTGCGTCCGGGGTTGAAGAGCAAGAAATCTAACGACTTTGTCTAGGACGCAGGGTGCCTTGTGCAAGGCGGCGGGGATGAATTCTGGACCGTTGCCCGTGGTGATGCGTGCGTCCCGAGAGATTCACTATAAGAAAACGCAGTGTCCATCAGTGTGCTTGAAGTGTGGCGCGGATCGCTATGATAACCCGCTCCCCCATGTGTTGGTTGGTCCTGATCATGGTATTGACATCAAAGCCTCACATGCAAAGATAAAACGCTTTCACTAACAAAAGGAAAGGAAGGAACTT